TCGCGTGTCCACTGAGCGCAAGAGACGTGTGCTTAATTTTCCTTTAATGACACCGAGAATGTAATCGTTAGTTTAGTGCTTCCTCATATGTTCCTTCCTAGGCACTTCGATCCGACAGGGGATAAACACTAATCAAGATATCCTGTATATCGCAATAGCAGCTAATGATGTCTCACAACGACATTCTGCAATGAGAACCCTGGCGAATGAACGACGGGTATAACTGCCATATTTTTTTATTATTCATTTTTTGTTTTCTTTTTTGCCTTTTGCTTTGTTTTTTCATTTCTTTTTTTCCTTCCTCCCCCCTCCCCTCTCCCCCTCCCCCTCCCCCCTCCCCTGCCCCGCTTTATTTATTTAATTTTTTTTTTCTTTTATCACAATTTCAGTGTCTTGAATTTATTCTAATACAAACAATTCGAACGCACAATTACGAATCAATAAATAATTTATAAATATATCATATATTAATTTATTAATTAATTAATTAATTAATTTATTTATTTATTTTTTTTTTTTTTATGTTTTACTAATAGACATTATTCGTGTGAATAAATAAATAAATAATACTATTTATCGTAAGGAATGTCACTTGAAGTATGGAAATAAGCGCGTCGGTTTAAGTCCGCAACTCGAGCAAACTTCGTTTCAACTCGAGCCCTTTAAAAAATCATTATCCACGGCTTATCGAAATAATTATGAAGAAGCGGTCAAGGAATTCTTTGAAAATGACTCAAAACGACGACAAATTAATACGAGGATAAAGCATTAAAGGTCTATCCGCGACGATGTAATTCATTAATTAATGGGCCCGTGAATGGCCGAGCACACGATCGTCCCTTATTATTTCGTTTGCGAATTATAATTACGGCTAGTCATGACCTAAATTACACCGATGTCGGTCCGCGCTCTCGATTCTCCTCTTAATCAACATTTTCCTTTCTTTCACTCTTTTTTTTTGTATTTGGAATTTTCGAAAGAATTTGTTTCAATTACTTATATAACATTTGCATATAAAAAATAAAAAAAAAAAAAAAAAAAAATAAAAAAATAAAAAAAAAAATCACACACACACACACACGAATCAGAAATAGACTCTTTTCATCGCTTCTTCCTCGTCTTCCTCTTTCTCTACTTCCGCTTCTTGTTTTCCCTTCTGCTTCTTCTTTCATTAAATGATAAAATTGTCTATCGTCTCATCTCCATAATACGTTATTCATAATTGTCTCGTAGTGGTGCATTGGCGTAAAATTGCTTCGAATGTACGGAGCGAGGAGGTTCGATATACCGAGATATTGTCAGTCAGTCAATGCCATCCATCGGATATTTTAAATACATAATTAATTTGAACGTTTTAGCAAGGATTATCCTTCCTTTAGGGACTATTGACTCCGATAAAACTTTGGCAGATATTCTCTATTTCTCATTCGCAAGTGCAGTCTATTCTTGTATTCTTTTTCAGAGTATTCATAAAAACTGATATTGACTTCGATGAAAATAGCTCGTTAATTAAATGCTTTGTCGAACATTACATAATAGTCAAGATAAAAATATTGTCTCATTAACACGACGATGGAAATGAGCGTGTAATGGAAAAATGGAAAAATTTCAAAACAACAAGTACTCGATCGTGATTTTGTATTATAGCACCCTTTAATTAATTGCTTTCTCGTCCATTTCAACTCAACGTGGAAAACATAAAACAACAACAAAAAATCAAAACAAAACAAAACAAAAACAAAACAAAAACAAAAAAAAAACAAACAAACAAACAAAAAAAATCAAAAAATCAAAAAACAAAAAACAAAGAAAAAAACCAAGCGTAATTGCTCTATATTGCTTGAATTACCCAGTGAGAGTTAAGATTTATTTCAACGTCAATTTTTATCAATCCTTTTAAAATTTGTACAGAATAGCTCGTGTTTGTATAGACGGATTTTATTGGAACGAAGTCGATAAACTCTTTCCAATATTGACTGTCAGAGAATATTCCGTCGAGTTTCTTCAAAATCCGCAACCCGATTTAATGAACCCGATTTTAAAGCACGATGTACGTACGTAAAGCCAAACAATAATCACTTAGGCATTAATACAATTAAAACAGTAAGAACGGAATTTCTAATAAATCAATTAACGCTTATAGATGCGCAACAACACATGATAATTATCAACGACAAATCATTATGCCCTCGCATCATCATTATATATAAATAGTTTATTAATTTATCCTCTGTGTGAAAACGAAATGAATGCAACGGTTCGTATTCTTCTACATTGAATTAAGTAAATTTGCCGCGTGACCTTCCAGATTCCAGAAGGCTCAAGAAAACAAATGAATCAGTCCTCTGGTCATACGTGTTCGTATCTTCGTTACGCAGTATTCACTTTTTTTTCTTTTCTTTATTTACTCATAACGTTTACCACTATTATTAATTAATATATTATACTATGTTCCTTTGCTTATGTTACGCTGTCTGTTCTTTTACTTTTTTTTATTTCAAGGTGTGTACCTCATATCTCCCATACATTATACAAGTTTATATCATTTTTTGTTCTACTATGTAACTACCTACTGCTTAGATTCCTTAACAAAAACACTTGCATCAATATTTATAGAATAATAATCGCAATAATAATCATTTTCTTCGTAATAATAATCATCGGTAATAATAAACTTTTCTTCGCAACTAATATATATTTACACTGTTATTATACAAGTCAATATGTTTCACGCCTCAATACGCCCTTTATTCTCAATGTTTTTTATATCATTTATTTTATATGACTCACTCGGACAAAATTTTACACTTCAAATGCCATTATTATTATTTATATTGCGATTGCACGTCTAATCGAACGATACGTTTCGTTTTATCTTTTACAAATCTCATTTTCGCCCCATTTCCATTATTTGTTTGTTCGTTTGTTCGTTCGTTCGTTCGTTCGTTCGTTTGTTGGTTTGTTTGTTTGTTTGTTTTTGTTTGTTTGTTTGTTTTGGTTTTTTGTTTTTCTTTAACACTAACAATTTTTCACGTCTTGGGGAATGCTAATCAAATGTATACAAGCTAATTTTATTTTACAGTGCCTCGATCGGCCAATTCCTCAAAAATTTATAAGTCGTGTATGCAAACGTTATACGTGAAATATACATCTCAAGCTTGCCACCGCCGAGATTTGTAAAGCCGCTCGATTATGATCGACGTCTCATTATGGCAATACAACTCTAATGCGACAATTGAAATGTTCAACTTTTCATTCTTTGTTGATTTTTTTTTTATTTTCATTCTCAATTAGTAGTCTCTCAGAGACAAAGGTAACTTCTTAATTAAACGAACGGTAAATCGTCGTTTCTCAACACGCTAATTTCGAGTTCATCTCTTTGAGCTTTTTAAATTTTCTTACCATCTCCCATATCTCACACTTACAATTAAATTATTTCATCATTATTATTATAATATATGTTTACTTTGTACTATATATGATCTTAAACCGGCCGTAAAGACGGCCGCTATTGGTACGACGAATTTTTACAATGACTTTATCGCGACCGTGCCTGTTTGTTTGTTTGTTTTGTGTTTGTGTGTGTGTGTTTTTGTGTGTGTGTTTGTGTGTGTGTGAGCGCGCGTGTGTAATAAAAATCGTTCGTTTTTGCAATACTGATCACTTCATTCTTAACATTGTCGAAAGCACAAGTGGGCGAAAGTGCAATTAATCTATTGGCCTTGTCCGCCAAAACGAACGCTATTTCAATTTCGGCTTGTCGTTACATTCGTATGAAATTCTTGCTTAATTTGATAAATGAAAGCAATCACGAATACGTGGACAGCGAGTCAATGGATATTTAATTGTTCATATGATACACAATTGCCAATAGTTTGCTCATTAATTGTCCATCTTTGTTCGCATTATTGTTCTTTGATTCAGCGTACAACGACTGACAGCCTACGGTAAACGATCACCGGCATCTTTGAAAAAACAATGCGAGCACTGCGAGGCACAAAACAGTAATTCACAGCACCTACGCAGAACGGAAACGACGTCTCCACATTGGCGTCGGCTTATATACAATTTTCATACGACGGGCAAGAGAAGGATAGGTAGCACGGTCTCGAGCAGTCCCTTGCGTAAATTCAGCACGTGTGCATAATTGTCTAGCTCCGGATAAAGTGCGGCACTACGATCCACGAAGGTTGAGCGCAGCCTGGGAGTAGTGGACGAGCAGTGTCCACCACGGGGCGTACGAGGATGATGTTCGCTGTCGGTGCACACACTTGAGCGTCCATAATTTCGCGCCGCCGACCAACGAGGGTACAACGAGTGCCTCGGCCCCGCGCCGTGACGACGCCGCCGTTCCACTGTCACTGCCACTGACGGCGCCCCCAACTCCATCACCACAACCATCATCACCACCACCACCACCACCACCATCACCACCACCACCACCACCACCACCGCCACCACCACCATCACCATCACCATCACCATAACCATCACCACCACCATCACCACCACTACCGCCATCACCACGACCATCACCATCATCACCACCACCAGCAACAGCACCGTCCTGCTCGGTGGGCCCGTCACGTCCTTAGGAACTTGCAACACTCTTGGCCTCGAGGTTCCGCGCGCAGCGACGATTTGACTAGATTGAGCGGGATCGTGAGGGGAGGGATCGCGGTGGCGGAGATGGAGTATTGGAATTGGAATTGGCGAATGCGAGGGTAGACGCCGCGCAGCCGTCTCATGGCACTCGGGGCGAAAGGCGGGGGCCGCGATTCAGGGGTGGCGACGGCGGCGTCGGCGACGGTGACGGCCACAGTGGAAGGTGAAAGGTGATGACGGTGATGGTGAGGGTGATGATAAGGATGATGGTAAGGATGATGATGAATTGGTGAAGACGACAATACGGTTAACGGTGATGATTATGGTGTGGGTGTCGGTGTGGGTGAGGGTGAGGGTGATGGCGAAGATGACGATGGCGGTAGCGGTGACGGTGGCGGTGGCAGTCGCGTTGTTGGCAAGGGTGAATGACGGCAACTATAAAGATGAGGGCGACGGCGGCGACGATGACGGCGGCTGAGTCGAGGGCGCGCGGCCATCGAGGTGGGACCTTACGAGAAGGCGAGGTCCTCCTCGGGCGACTCGTCGTGGTACTCCTCGTGGTCGGACGTGTGTCACAAAACGTCGCTTGCCTGCCGCGGGCTGATACCGATCGTCGGCGAGAGCTGGCCCTCGTCCACGTTGACCGCCTTCGGGTCCTCGTCCTTCCACTTATCCATCGAGCGCCTGCGCGCGTTCATGAAGAAGTTACCGACCGTCGTCGGCTCCAAGCCGAGCTGGCGCGCGATTGTCACCTGCATCTCCTTTGACGGCCTCTTCGTCTCCTGTAACAGAGGGCACGCGGTTAGTGGCTTGTAACTAAGGGTGGCGGTGGCGGTGGCGATGGTGTTTACTGCGGAAGGTGGGGATGAGGGATGAGGGGCGAGGGTCGGTTGAACCAGTGACGGGGGAGGGGAGGGGAGGGGAGGGGAGGGGACGGGAGGGGAGGG